TACAGGAGCTGCAGCATGACCCAGAAGGGACAGCATGCAATACAACATAAAACCCTTTTCAGCCTTTCCCCACGGCACTGAGATGGGCACTGAGCTGGACCAAGGGACCTCTGCCTCCTGCCTGGGAGCCTGGCGCTCAGCTGGTGCTGCCACATCCTTGCAAGGAGAGCGGAGGCCACATGAACCCTGCCAAATCCTGCAGCACGGACACACAGTAGGGAAGGGGATCATGAACGTGAGTCCCTGCCTTCCTCGTCCCATCACAAGCCCCTAGCACTGGTGACCACTTAGGTCCAGGGCTGGGGAGCACAGCAAAGCAGCTGAGCTGCTTCAGCTCCCTCTCAGCTTGTCACTATGGTGAGAGGTGTGTCTGTAGGCATTTGCTTCACCTCCGGCTCTGAGGAACGAAGCAGACGAGACATTTCCCACGGACTGAAGAGTCGGGTATTAAGCTGGAAACCTGCATGCACATGCACCGAGCGGGCGAGCTGCTAATTTGGAAACCCCAGGGTTGATTAGCAAGCGCTTCTGGTTTCAGATGCTTCCAACCGATGCACCTCATTTCCCACCTGTGCCTCCAAGGGTGCAAGTCCAGTAACGACCCCGCTGAGCTCCCCGGGATGCGGAACCTGGCCTTGAAGCAAGCAAGGAGAGCAATTGAGCTGCACTCGCTGTCGCTGCCTCCCTCCCGGGGCTGGGGAGGGAGGAAAGAAAGAGTCGAGTTGGGGAAGTTTCCTGACTCAGCAGTCGTGCGTTCATTCACGGAGGCGCTGCTGCTGCCACTGCTAATAGGTTGTGGTAATGGAGAGGCGTCTCGCAGGCAGGACGGTGGGAGGCTGATCAGCTCCAGCAGAAGAAGTGAGGTCAGTGGTAATGAGCGACAGCGAAGAGGAATGCAAATTGCGGGAGGATTTATGGAGCAGTTTCTGCTCAGTGAGCAGATTCCAGATAAGTGGGCTGTTAATAAGGCAAGCAAAGCTCCTCGGCTGTGCCAGCTGCTAGATGGGGACGGCTATGTGCCTCTGACTGGCAGTCACCCGAGACCGGGTGCAGGGGTGCCCGCAGCATGGACACCAGCACGCACATATTCCCTCACCCCACACACGGCAATGCCACGTCCCTCTGCGGGCAGGATCCGTGCTTCTGCCCAGACAAAGGAAAGCTGAAGAAAAGCCGAGTTGGTGGCAGGCTGGCTTACCCGCACACACGGGTAAGCTGAAAAAGAGCACAGTTTTACACACCCAAGCCCTAACCAGAGCCATTTTTATCCTCGCTTCTTCTTTTTGTCCCTCCTTCCTTGATCTCAGAACTTGCTGTGGTGTGGAGATGAGTATCTCTCAGCAGCCCCTCAGAGATGGAGGGACCTGAAGTCACAGACAGCTAATCCCAGCAGAGCTGGGAAGGGCAAGCTTACCTTGCCCATCTCTCCCCTGCCCAGGCCCGAATCTCCTGGGAGCACTGCTGCTGTGAATGACTAATGGTAGGTGTCACGGGCTCTGCTGAGGAATGCCACTCTTGGGCCAGTCTGTGGTGCGCTGGTGCCTCAGTGAGAAATCTTCCAGGAGGAAATCTTTTTGCTTTTAGAGAAGAGATCCTCCTCAATGAGAAGGAGAGGTGGTAGGGGGCAGTCACCTCTGGAGACACCATCTACACCTACAGGAAAGAGGAACAGCCAGGGAACATCTCTAACGCTGGACAAAGCAGACCAAGGTCCCAGGCTAAGGGGCCTCCTCTCCTATGCCTGTCCTGGGCAAGCACGCAGGGCTCCCACAGATGTCCACATACACAGACAGAACAGCATTCTGCAGTGCTCACCACACACTGTGCTCTTCGTCTTCCTGGCAGCACCAGATCACCTGGCTGCATTTGGGCAGGTCCTCCTGGAGCAGCAGAGGGGCATGGCATGGCACATCCGCATCTTAGCAGCAGCAGCACAACAGGGGAGTGAGAGACAGGAACTAAATGAGCTAATTTCATTCTGAATACATGAGACTTGACAAGTCTATTAAAGGGCTGGAGCCTAATGTGTCTCATTATGAAAAATTAGTGCTGTCCTGTAAAAATACTGGAGACAGTGCATCACTTAAGGAAGGGATGTCTTGAGGATGCGGTCTTTTTTTAATAGGCCCTACATCATCAGGGACATACAAACCTCAGGAATGAGCCAAGGGGGTTTGGACCTGGGAGCTAGTACTTCTCAGGTCTGACACTTGTATGATACTTCAGTTTGCCCTTCTCTTTCTGCTCAAACAAGGAGAAGCTGGAGTAGCCAATGGACCAAGGAAGGATTTGGTTTGCTTGTTGCAGCATCTCACTGAAAAATCCAGTGAGAAAAACAAAAGGCTTGATTTAAACAGAAACAAAATGTTGTAAATTTCAAAATAAAAATAAATCATAAACATATTTTATTGGTCCATTCCCATATTAAGTCAACTGAAATACGTTTTATTTCTTCCCTGGGTTATTCAAGATGCTGCCTAATCTTTTAATTTAGATCAGTGTTAATGTCATTTCAATAAATGAGGTATTTCTGTGAAAACAACATCAAAACTAATTTATTTTTTATCTTTATTTTTGCTAAAATTCCTTGCAAGAGTTGGCCAAGATTATCCAATTTTGCCTCTCCACCCAGACCCCATCCCACCTCTTTCACTACTTGTTAAAGAGTTTTGTCTGGTTCTATTTGCAAGGTTGAACCTTCTCAAGGCTCTGGGAATTGAACAAAGATAAGAAAAAGGATGTTTTACTTTTTCTCTTCTCCAGCATTTGGGAAGGACCCAACACATCTCCGTGCCATCTAGCATCTTGCTAGGTTTGCTATGAGCGTGGACAAACAAGCATGTCAACCACATGGAGGTGAATGATCAATGGAAAGTCCTATTAAGTTAGGCATCTTTACTGGAGGAATGCAAGGTCAAAAGAAAATTAGCTGCCCCTGCTGAAGCATGATAAAGTCCTGGCAAGAGAGCTATGGCTATAGCACACAGAAGGGCTACAACATGTCATGCAGCAACAGAAGGGTGCTGGATTGGTCAACACCACCCAACATCAGATCTTCACATCTCAGGGATGTTCAAACACAGCATAGCACTGCATATTTTGCTGATTTCTACTATTATAATTAAAGCAAAAAGACTCTGCCTGCTAACTACCTCTCTAGGAACATTGTCTTCCAGACAGGCCAAAGAAAGAACATATATGACAGGTGTAGGAGCTCAGAGAAACCTAAGTGCTTTGTCTCACAGGATAAAATACAAACGAGCAATCTGAGCACCATCAAACCTGCTGTGAGGAAGAGAGAGAGAGGTAGGATCAAATCCCTTTAGACTATAAGCTCCCTGGAATTAGGCCACTTTAAGAAGAAAAGGGACCACAGTTTAAAGGATTCAGGTAATTTCCCATTTCTTGAGACAACTCTCTGACCTTTGCAAAAGAAACCACAAAGAACCCAGAACATAAAGGAATGAGACTTCTCTGTTGTTCCTTTTCTTTCATTCCTTCTCTCAGCTTTCTCTGTAGAAACAGGTAATTGAGCTGCCCTTTCTTGGAAAGATGCAGTTGTCTCTCAGTTCGAGCTTCATAATACAAGTGCCACTACTGTTACCACTGCCATGACTGGGAATCTGAATGGAGAATATAGCTGTGTGAGGCTCAATATTAAAAATAAATAAATAAATAAATAATTGCCTCCATGGTATGTTCTGGAGCAGAGTCAGAGAAGACCCAGGGGCTGGGCTCAGCAGTAAGCTAAACCTATTGAAGTCTTAATCCTAAATCCACTGAAACCTAAGACAAGTGCCCTAACGTAGACAGACAATGGGTAGCACAAGTTACTCCCTCTATTCAAATACTTTACAGCTACGTAGGCACGAAAAGGTCAGTGGTGTGTGTTTGAGTTCTCCTGGGAGCTGGTACTTTGTGTCCACTGACGGTCCACTTGGCTTTGAACCCAGGTGAGGCAAATCCATCTGCTGAGATACGTTTTTCTGTCAGTCTGCCACAAGGATTTACACGCTTGGAAGAAAATCCAGACATAATGGCTAGTAACAAGAAGGCTGTAGTACATGAGCCACGGGAAATGGGCAGAAGATGAGATGGGAAGGGGAATTAAAGAGCTTGCTTGCTATGGAAGGAAAGAATATATCTCATCCACACATGCACAGTGTGGCTGCAGGAGTACTTGTCATGTATACAGAAATGAAGATACTCCTTGTGGGACCCCTGTGCCTATATACACACAGCTTGCAAACAGGTGAGTAAAAACATTCAGAGGGACACCCTAAGACTGCCTCTATGTCTCATACACTGACAGTTCTTAGCAGAAACTCAAGTGTGCATAGAAACTTCTGTGGACATGCAGTCATTTCCACTGGCACAGCCAATTCCAGACGTGCAGACCTGCAACCACATGCAGAGCCATGCTACCTGTGTGACTGGTCCCACATCAGCACACGCTCTCAGCAACATACTTAAGTTCCTCCTCCCAACACACTTCTGTGCCTTTTTTATAGGTTTATATAGAGGTTTATGGCACTACAGCAACAAAAATTCCCTGCCCCAGACAAGTTTCCATGCAGGCTCAGTAACAAACATCCACACATGACATTGGATCACAGCTGCAGATATTCCCAACACTACTCCATGTGAATGCAGGTGGGTGGGACACTCTTGCCCAGCCAGATGCAAACCAGTCATAGACATAGGAATACCTGCCTACCACTGTGAATGACATATATGACCATGAACCATAGCCTCTTTGGTGAAGTTTGAAGGTCTCCCTGGTTCCCAGGATTTGATTCCTTCTCTTCAAGGTCCAGCTCCTTCATCTGCTTGGTGCTCTTCTGCACCTCCAAAAGCTCCGTCCCTCCATCCCTCTGAAGCTCTCTTTGGAGAAGAATAATACAGCATACAGCTGACTGATGGCCTTCCCTTCATACCTGCCACTTGCCCACATGGAAACATTCACGTCTAGCTGCCATTGCAGCAGGGTCCAAAAACAAACATTAAAAGGGAAATGAAAGGGACAAAAACTCTGGGGGAAAATCCCTCACTGGGTGCCAGGCAGATGAAATCAACAGCCTAACACCAAGTTTGAACTTGGCCCAGGGTGTTGTTTTGACAAACCAAACAATTAATTAACAACTATCTCCCCAGCAGATCTCTTCTCGCGGCACAGTATGTGAGGAACACACAGACCCATGTAAGGGCTCTATCGCCACCATTACATGCTGCAGAATAGCGTCTAATTAATTATAATGATGGCAAAGATTAGATCCAAATTCCCCTACACAGTGTGTACACAGCCCAAACAGACAAAATAAATCAGAGAGCCATACCCTAATCCACCAGCTTCAGAGGATTAAATAGGTGCATTCTAATCACAGGCTCAGAGCAGTCCCACTCAGTATGCACAGAGCTGCCCCCATATGCGGCCGTCTCTCTGAGAGATCCCAGGAAAGGTATCTCACTTCAGAAAGAAAATCATAATTTAGGCCTTTCCCACCTGCTGTCATCTCCTGGCTTGCTTTCCCTTCCCACGTTTTGGTCTGTGCATCCCAGGCAAACACCAGGGGTAATAATTTATCACTCTTTAAGCCACTCCTGCAATTTCAGATGGGGAAGACATTAGTTTTCATTGCTCTGCTAGCATGCTGCTGAGCTGTGCTCCGTTGCTTAACAGTAGGTGCTCCATTCCAGGGGTGGCAGCATTTCAGACAGAAGGAGGGATTTTTTATTTTTATTTTTGTGATTGAAGTTCTGGAAGTAAAGATGCTTTCTTTTGCACAACTTCATTGACATGAGCTATGTAAGAAAGCTGGGATTCCACTGCTCATAAAGCAAGTCAGTATGTTCTCTGTTCATCAAGGCTGATTTCCAAATTCCAGTGGAAAAAAATAATAACTACGTCTCAGAATGTAAAAAAAAAAAAAAAAAGCCCACAACAACACACATCTTTTCATGCAACAAGGGTAAAAATCATTAATTGTGTCACTAATCATCGGGTTAGCTCCACCCCTGGGGTGGCAGAGGCTGAATCAATCCTATTACACCTACTGTGAAACTGAGCTCTTATGCTAGCTAAGAATAGAATTGGGTGGTCCAGCCCATGAAAAACACTACAATTTGCAGAATGAAAAGCTTAATTAATACACATTTTTCCAAAGGAACAATTTTTTTTAAAAAACACAACCGGAAATACAGTCATTTTTCCAATTCTCCAATCCAAACAACGCCTATTGACGTTCCTTGAAACCAAACATTTTGTTCTGGAATGTTATACTGAATGCTTCAATAGCCCTTTTTCTCGCCTGTGCTAGAATTGATCTTCCATAATGTCTGGCTGCTCTCTGACTTTACCCTGCACCGTTTGGCTCACTCAGAGTAGATCTGCTGCATGCTATTGGAAACGTACTTCAGACAAGCAGACGGGTCCATGAAAAGAGCTGCACGCACAACGCATCCAAACTACACCTCCCATGAGGCACCACAGCTCCATGGGCAGGTGCCACTTGATGTCAAAGAAATGCACAGCAAAATGCTTTGATTCCTTTCAGCAAGTGCAAATGTTTGAACCAACCCAAGTCAAAACATTCTGTTCAGATTCTAACATTTTCAAGCTGTCAAACGTTGCTGTGTTTTGTGATTGTAAAGGAAACGGTGTTTTCCCTTGGAGAATCAATTCCACGGGAAATCTCATGCCTAGGAAGCCGCGGCAGCTAAAAGGCTTGATAGAGGCTCCTCTTCTCTTTCACACAGGGCACATCTTCACTGGAGGGGTAAGTTGCAGGACGCACAGACATGCATGAGGTAGCTTGTTCTCACATGCAGTTGATATGAGTGCCAATAAAATTACAAGAGACCTATGCAGATCTATTTGAGAAGCTTTGTAAGTAAACTGCTAGCCCACACTGATAATCATGAAGCTTACCACTACTGACTTTAATTTAGCTAGAGTGGTTACTTTTATCCATCCTGAAATCACGCCTCTGGATGCAACACAGACATGTCCTTCACAGGATGACTCTGTATACAGTAAATAACAAGAAATAGTATCAAGAACTTCCTAAATGAGTGAGATAAGAACTTCCAGGGGAAGTTTTCTGAGAATACTTACCCCATGCATGACCTTAAGGAAGGGGTGGCAGGATAGGAGGGTACTAAAGTAGGATGAAAAGTGAGCATGGATCACTTAGGGCTCCATAGCACACCAGAAAAATTCCATCCACCTCAGGAAAAAAAAAAAGAAAAAAAAGAAAAGAAACTAAATCCACATGGTCTTGCATCTCTTCCCCTCTCTTTTCGTCTTTCTAAGATAAAAGGTATAATATAACCTTCCATCATTTCATCACAGCCTCATGCTGCGAGCCAATCAATACTTTTTATTATCACCTATTATCACAAAAGCTGTAACACTCTCTGATCCATCAAGTATGGAGCAAGGCCCCATTCCGCTTGGTGCTGTACACGCATGGAACAAAAAGATGGTCTTTGCCTAAAGGAAAAGATAAATATAAGGCAAGAGAGTGGGTGGCTGCAGACAGATGGGGAAGAAGGAAGCAATGAGACCGTACACGCCACCGTAACAGGCAGACCTCTGCACACTGGGTGCTGAACCGTTAGCTTGCTTTGGTCTGGGGTGGGTTATTTTTTTGGGGTGGTAAGGGTGAGGGAATATATGCTGCAGTAAAGATGGATTTGAGGGTAGAACATGGCAGTGCCTTTGCAGATGGCAGAAGGGAGCAGGAAGAAAAGCAGGAGGATGCTTTCCTGGCAGGTGTGTGACTGGTGGCAGTATGGAGAGGCAGAGCTGGCTGGGCAGGGAGATCGTGATGGGCCTTGATCAAAAGGAGGCTCATTATGTTAGAAAGGGTCTGAGGAAGCCTGAACTGAGCAGAGCGAAGCAGCAGAGGGTAAATTTTACAGCAGTGTCCTCCAAAGTCCTTGTCAAGGTCCGAGCAAAATGTACTATGACACCCAGGGGAAGGGAGGGCTTAGCTGGGCCTGACTATCCCCAAATACTGTTTGGGAATGAAGAGAGATAAGCTGAACATTCAGAGGAGAATCTACTGTTTGTTCCTGAGGGACTGCTTATTTGTTTTTCACCAGGGGCTCCCGTCTTTTCATCAGCCTGAATCAACCCCCTGATCCCAGCCCTAGGTTTCAGGGGAGCTGGCCACGTGGGTCGAGGGCTGGCTATGAGGCTGAGGGCTGGATGTCAGGAGCATGGTCAGACTGGCCTGCAGTGATAGTCAGGGCTTGTGTGCAGACAGCAAGAAACAGCTTCTTCAGTGAGCACACTTAGCAGGGCAAAAAGAGGTGAGGGAGGCTGGTAGCTGACTGAATGGCTGTTAGCTGTCAGTAAGCACCGCTTGCGTCTAACACCGATAATCTTCCCATCAGGGTTGGGAAGGGATTGATGCTGCACAATGTCAGGAGCTGAAAGGTCAGGAAAACTCCAGCAAGCACCCCCTTCTCTGCTGTACTTCATGCAGGGCAGTAATGTTACCTTATCACCTCCGGAGAGCAGAGTGCAGAACTGCCTGGAGTGACAACTAAAAGGAGTGGAGGTCAGCCTGGTCTTGGCTGAGGGTGGCGATGCAGCCACGTGATGAAGTTGCAGCTCAGTCCCACACAACTTGTCTTCTCTCTGTTTCAGTCTGAAGCTGAAGCATGGAGAAACTCAGGAAAAAAGTAAAGCAACAGGCAGAAAAAAAATAAATGAGTAAAGACAGGGCAGGTCTGAGATTTCATGCCAGAGCCTGGGGTGGATGAAGAAATATGGAGCTGGACCTGCAAGCAGATGTGCAGATAACAAGGACACTGGGTGAACCTGGGCACCATGAGCTCAGAAGCGAAGGAGATGAAGTTGAAATCAGGTTGGCAGGGGCTGCATGGAAGACTGGGACCAAAACACTAGCTGAGAGGTACAGGAGGGTAAGAGGGTGAGGGAACAGACACTGTACACAAGATATGCTGCAAGAAGAGAAAATGCCTTAATATCAAATTGGGGTGAGGATAGTGAAGAGGCCTTTTCTTCACAAAGGCAACTCAGAACAGGTAGTTCTTATCATGCTCTGTCCTTTCCACCTCTGAAAGGCATGCAGCAAACAAAACCAGGACCAAACCCATGGCACAGAGGATTGTATTCTGAAATCTGAAATGCACTTTAAACAGCAGCTTTCTCAGAGCTTTTTCCTGGAGTGAGCAGAAAAGCATTTGCTCTGCCTTCTTGTTAATTCTTTCCCTTTCCCTCTACTTTTTTTTTTCTTTTCCTTTTTTTTTCCCTTTGTGAGGGAACACTGAAACCAGAAGGATCTCTGCGACACCAGGCCTGACCAAGCGTGGGGCAGAATCTGCTCATTCCAATTATCTGCCAGCCTAATCATAAAAACATCACGGTGCACGCTCCATATGTCATTTTTATTGAATTCATTCAGGAGTTTCTCGATTAATCTTTTATTATTCCTTTTCAAATCCCAAGGTTCCCATAACAGGGGCTGATCAGCTAAAGCAATTCTTGCACAGGCTGGAAACAGTGAGAATTATCTTGGCTCTCGCATCCTTCTGTCATGTCACCAAAATTCCCTCTGGACTCTTCTTTGAGCACCTCCTGCCTGAAAAAGACCCTGGGCCCCCAGTGCCTCTTAGCCCCTTGGCCCTCATCCATCCAAGCAGGAGAATCTGACACACCCCGAGGGCCAGTGGTTATGTACAGTCTGAAGAGGACCCTACCCTGAAGGGGGAGAAATGAACACTCTCACTCTGAATACCCCTGAAAACGAGAGGTCCACTCTCATGCTACCAGTTCCTGTGCAGCAGCCTGTCATAGTCCTCTTGTCCCATACAAAACTTGCATCATCTATTCCACCTCAATAAAAAAAGGCAACAAAGGAGTTTTACATCCCACTTGTAGACACCTGTGTCGTTCCCTTCAACTGTGCAGGATGAGACCAAAAGGTACTGAGAGCTTCCCCAAGGAGCAGTGTTGCTGGGGAAAAATTTACTACTGGGAGAATAGTAACTAACCATTTATTATCTCTGGGGTAGGGTATTCCTGTCCCAGTAACTTGTTTGGCATCTTCATCACCACCTCATTAAAGCTTCAGCTCATTAATTAAATATTTAATACATTAAATGAGGTTCCTTCTGTACTGAGGAGCTGAGATCTTGTTGCTGGTATGCGTGATGCTGTGTATCCTCCTGGGAGGCTCCAATTTGCCATACTAATTGCACAGAGACTCTTCAAAAAGCCCTGCACTGAGTCTTTGGCTGCTAAGCAAATTGTACATTCTGCCTCAGCAGGAAAGGAGCCTGAGCTGGCAAAAGGCACAGAACAGCAACTTACCCTTCTTCATGGCCCCTGGCAGTCTGGAGAGCTCACCCATCTGACAGGACGCAGAGCAAGGCAGCAACTCCAAGACAGAAAATAACCTTCAGTCCTCATCTACACTGGCACGCAGGGCAAGATGCAGCAGCCCACAGCTTTGCTAAATCAAGCACAAGGCTTGCTAATTCAGGCTGTTAGGCAGGAACCTGTTAAGCTTTCTATTAGCGTTTTTAAAAGGTCCTGCTACCATCCTAAACATTTCTGTTACCTTGGTTATGTTTCAGCTCAGCTGGCAGCTGACTGAATGCAGCAAAGATGGACAGAAGCCTCTGGTAAGAGTTCCACAAAGGGGAGTGTGAAAATAGGAAAGGGGGCAGGAATCTCCCAAAGCAGATGGGCTACTAGTGGAAAAGAGATTTAGACCAGCTGTAAAAAAACATATTGCTGCCCTACTTTGCCCTCATATACACTTTCTTGCCCCCAGCCTGCTGTCTACTTCCACCTCTGTCGTTATGGTGAGAAATCAACTATTCACGTGGCCAAGCTGTGATAGAGAGGGCTGATGTCTCTGGCAAGAGAGGGCAGAAAAGCTAATTATTTTTGTAAACCTTTGTTCGGCCCCTTCCCTTGCGTCTCTCTCACAAACCAAGCCCTGATCACACCTATATGGAAAAATTAACAGCCTTCTTTCTACTGGTATCCACATAAAGCTATAAAGATCCAAGTTCCTCATGGAAACTGCAATACCACAAACATGGTTTACCTTGTAGACCCTTTTCCTGCATTGATTGAGGGATGTATCGTTCCTATACCGTATGAACAGCACCACGTTGGTATTCTGTTAGAAATCTAAGTAGCTATACTGAAATGTCTATGAAAAGTAGAGATTGAGACCCCAGGCCTCCAGCATCAGAAATGTGGATTTTGCAAGATAAAGAAATCCTCAGTGAACAGGTCATGAAAGGATCTGAAAGGAGCTTGGCTCTCCATGGGAAAAGATGGCACCTACATGTGTGAGATTTTTAAGGGCAATATCTGGCTATGAAGGTTAGGTAAGGAACATAGCAAGAAGGAGCTTAAAAGGGTTATTGGGCTTGAGTTTTCAGGTGGGCTGGCTTCCCAGCAAGATGAAAATGTAACTGGATTATTGCTATTCTCTGGGAAGGAGAAAGGGATGGAGAAGGAATGGCAGAGAGAACGCAGTAACTGGCTGAAGCAGTGAATACTGATAAAGAAACAAGGAGGCATAATATTGTCTGTGTCAGATCGGGCCACTTTGTAAAGAACAAAATCAGGCTGTTGGGACAGGACTGGCAAAGCACAGAGCCAATGGTACAAGAGTTTTCCTCCCTCCAACTACCTGTAGCCTCAGAACTTGTCTTGGCTGCAAGGCACATGCCCCAGACTAATTATTCTGCCCCTGCTCTTCAATCACCTTTTCCAAGCTGACATCAATCCAGCTATATTATCTCTGTCTTTTGTCCCCCATTGATGAGGGGGGCTGAACTAGATGGAGGAGAGAAAAATATCACAGGACGTAGGTTCCTGGGCAGTCCTCCCCAGATCACCCAAAGAGGATCAACTTCCTGGCGCAGAGAGGGCATGCATTTTGGGGCAGGAGACTCTCACTAGCTTCTTTCTGCCCTGTCACATTTTTCATTTCTTTTTTTTTTTATATTCTTCTTTTTAACGTTGCAGTAAGAAAAGGAAAGGTAGCTCTATAAAAATAAAAAAAGCTGAGAAATGGGGAGAACATTAAAAACTGCTGGAGCGTTTGGGTAAAGAGAGAGAAGCGATTGTCCTTTGAGAATGGGAAGGCAGCGAGTGGAACACCCGTCGGAGAGACTGCCTGCGGCAGCAGAGGGCTGCTCTCCCTTGGGGTGAGATGTAAAAGGGGTG